CCCAGCGGCCACGTCGCGTCCGCGTTCTCTTCATTAAATACCCTAGGGTGCCGACACATTGAACAGCTTCGGCTTCGCTTCTCTTCATTTTCTTTCCGTTGCTTTTTTTCGCCGGAGGCGGCGAAATCGGGTGGCAGCGTCTTGTGACGGTACGGGAGTCCTCGCGGCCGTGAGTCCTCAAAGCCTCCTCCCTGGGAGCAACCCTTCCGTCACCGATGATCTCCCATCACCAATGACATCGGCGCCACCAGTCATGCCACACCGAGCTCTGATGCCAATGTGTGCTTTCGTTTGTACATGAGATTCTACCCACTTGTTGAACTCATCCCGATACAATCGTTTGCAATTATTTTTCGCCCTCACATTATTATTTGGACAGAATTTTCCCCTATCACCTTGTAGTATTTAATTATTTTATTGCGTTCGTTCAATGCCGCCATATCAAGACAACGTTGGTTGTATTGATCAATCATCCATGATTGACTTTCGGATTGAATTGTTGCTTGATTACTGCAAATACCACTGATAGCGCAGGGCAATTAATTGATCAAAGTGAAAAACAATCCATAGCGGTTCATGATTAATCAAAATTCATCCATTGCTATAGCGGGCATTTTCTGTTTCTTGTTTGCAAGTTGTTTTTTACACTTACTAAATAAGAATCAATTACATTGAAAATAAAACATTTTGGGACTCAACTTGGAAATTGCTGCTGGATATCTTGGAAACTAATAAGACAGAATGCTTCAACGCCAAAACTCAGCGTTTAGGAGGCTAACTAAAGGTTAAGGTCTTTTTCTGATACAGTTAGAGCGTTTCTGTCAGACAAAAAGCCCTTTAGGTCTCCTCTAAGTGCGATCAGGAGCTGCAGATAGGAATATGTGTTTGGACACCATTACATAAACTGTTATGAAACTAATTTTCGCGAGGTCGCCGCCAGGAACAGCTCTTTCCAGCAACAAAGAAGAAGACCTGTTTGCTGAGATCACGTGACTCTAGTACACAGATAAACTATTGATGAAATCGACTGGGTCAGGCCCGAGAAGCAGGTTTTATTAAACGTAATCTGATGAACGAAAAAATACCCAGGCATTTCAAAGTTCTTCCCTGTGTCTCTTCGGTTGGGAGGCGAGTTGTTCCCAGAAATCGAGAAACTTGGAGTCCATCAGGTTTCGCGACAATCGGGGATGGAAGTCGAACACAAAGTGACGAGGGTCATCTTGTGTCCATTGGGGCCATTTCACGTCCGCCCGAGGATCTGGTGTCGGGTCGCTGTGGTCGGCAAAAAATTGCAAGAAATAATAAATTGAAGTTTAGATGAAAAGAATAAAATTGCGATTACGCAAAAGAAAATTAAATATAAATAAAATGAAATGAAATGGGAAAATTAAATAGAATCATAATAAAAATAATACTCCATTGCAGCAGTTCATTTGTAGCGGTCGGAACCGAAGAAAAAATCCAAGCGGCAATGATACAACTTTACCCCTGGCACAGAGGCAGAGCCGAAAAATGAAAGGGCAATCCACAGAGAGAAAGATAGAGGGGACTCACCCTGATTTGGCAAACTGGACGAAGATCCCCGTGAGGATATCCTTCATTGTCACGCCCC